TTTTTTGCCTAGTTTCTCAATTAATTTGTAAAATGAGATATTTCAGATTCCTAACTTGAATTTGTTTTTGAGTTTCTTGCGGAAGCCCAACAATCTTACGAACATCAAAGACAGAGTCTACGGAAGAAATATTTCCTTGGGTCGGATTATTATTGCGAGTGTTAGAAGGACCTTGACCATTACTGACGCGGTTGTTCTGTCCGAACTGGTTATGTTGTTTGGAAGTTGGTTGATATTGGTTTCTCGCACCACGATTAGCATTCGGATTGCCCCTTCCTGAATTCTGAGGATTATTTTGAGGTCTACCATTTGGGCGGTTGTTGTTTACTAATTGTCCAAAGTTATTAGTGCGAATATTAGGAGTAGTACCAGGAACAGCATTTAGCATGCCAACTTGACCATAAAAAGGAGTAGGACGACCGGTCCTCATTCCATATGATCCAGGGTGAGTAGCGTACCCAACAGGCAAACCATAAGCAGTGGCTGCACCAATGCTAACAGCCTAAATTGCAAAATAAAAATTTAGTATAAATATTGTATATTAAGAAACTAATAATTTTTATAATACTTACCGCTTGCTGTTGCAAACGTATGTTCCTTTGGTTAATTTGGGCTTCTAATTGAGATTTTCGCACATCCTTCCTTTGAGCTAAAGCTACATAGATTGGTTTACTACCAATCATTCGACCGTTCATTTCAGTTACGGCTTTAGTAGCTTCGTCAGGGGATGAAAAACAAACGAACCCAAACCCTTTAGACTGTTGTCGTTCATCCCTCATTACCTTTGCGCTGGTTATGACACCATAAACAGAGAATTCTTGACGCAATCTTTCATCGTCGATGTCATCTTCAAGGTTTTTTATGTACAAATTCACACCTTGATATTTGTTTAATTTTTCCAATTTGGCCTGTTCATATTGCCTTCGTAATTCTTCTTCACGTTCGTGTTTTTTCTGGGCTCGTGCTACAAAAAGCTTCTTGCCCCTTAATTCTGTATCGTGAAGTTCATTTACTGCATGGGCCGCTTCCTCGTGATCTTCGTAATTAACGAAACCAAACCCTTTAGAATTACCCGCTTCATCGGTAGAAATAACGGCAGATGTAATTTTTCCATATTTCATGAAAATTTGACGGAATTCTTCTTCTGTAACTTCGGGATCCAAGTTCTTCACATAAATATTTGTAAACTTGGCTTTAATCTCTTCAAGCTTAGATTGGCGTTCCTTTTTAGGAATATGATGACCAACATAACTATATATAACGATAATGGTAGAATTAAAGTGATCAAATCGTTATGCCTTAATTTGGATATAAACTTATTGAAAAAAAAAGTCAACGTACACTTTTTTATCATTAAGCAACATCCCATTTACACGTTTAATGGCATTCTCAGCGGCTTCAGCAGTTTCGTAGTGGACAAAGCCGTAACCTTTAGAAACTCCATCTTCCATGGCAACCTTGCAACTCAAGATATTTCCAAAAGCCGAAAACGTGTCGTGAAGGGCCTTGTTATCAATCAATTTATCGAGATTTTTAATAAAGATATTCCCGGTACCGGTCTTACGAAGAGCGGGATCACGTTGTGACCACATAATACGGCAAGGCTTATTTTTGATAACAGTATAATT